TGACCCAACTTTCCTTGCAATAGATGCAGCTATTGATTCAATGTAGTTGTTCCACTTCAAGTCAGTTGAAACCGTGAGGCTAAGAAGGCGCATGGAGACACTCTCCTGGAGTCGTTCATCAGCCATGCTGATAACGGGCAAGAAGTTTCTCTATGGTGGTTAATTGAGAGCCGTTTAGTTTTAGAGGCATTAAAATTTACAAGCCATCTATTCTTGTTACAGAAAAGTGTTTCGAATTTCTAATTTTTGAACATCATACTGCATGAAAGTCTTCCAGAGAACAACTGAGCCAAATATTGAATTCGAACATCACTTTTAATCTTTTTAATTGTCTAAGAGGATTCTTTCTGCCTACCAACGGCATAGAGGATGCTAACCTCCGGGAGATTGACTCATTGCATCTTCTAGGGATAATTCTTTTGCCGCTGTTATTAGGTGGAAAGATTATATTGAATCATCTATCAGTATAAAGCGTCTTCGATCGGGTCTTTCATTACTGGTAATATTATACCTTGCAGTTGGAGCAGATTAAGTTTAAAATCAATATTAGTAACAACAATTGGGACCCAACTGAGGCATATGCCCAAATGGGGTGCTAACGATTTGAATGGTGTGTGGCCCTGAAAAGGGTCGTTTTTGCCTTCTTATTCTTGTTTCAGCCTTACGCGCAGCAGCAGTTGAAGAGGCGTTTCTTTTCAGCCGTTGAGTCCTTCGATCAACATTTTCAGCCTCGCGCGCAGAAGCGTTCGGATGAAAACTGTCGAAACGCATAAACAACATCCGGTCACACAGACACACAAATACATACACACATTTTGAGAATTATAGATATAGATAATATAATTTTAATAGTTTAAACTATTTTCTATTAAAGTTTTTTTCTGAAAGATATATATCCAAGAACAGATAGTAAAACATTGCTCAGAGTTATAATGGACAGGAAGTAGTGGAGAGCCATTGTTGCCAACAATTTGGACTCAAAACCGGCACTGAAGAATTATCTATAAAACAAAAAAAATTTCATCAAAATCGGATAAAAACTGTGGAAATGCATAAACAACATCCGATCACACATACATACATACATACACGCACACATTTTGAGAATTATAGAGAAAGATTGCTAGATCTGCTTCTAGAAAAGTTGGTTCACTGTGTTGTGCTAGACAATTTTTCTCGCCTGAAACTATCTAACATATATATATATACAGTGCTGTTCAATAAAAGTGACTCACCTGATTTTTTTTACTAAATGTTCTCTTCTCCGATGAAACGAAAGTTGAGCTAAATTCAAAGAATAAGCGATCTAAAATCCGAAGAAGAAGCTTTGAAAGCTCTTTGAATTTAGCAGTAAGTACTGTCAAGCATCCGTTCAGTATAATGTTCTGGGGATGCTTTTCTTTTCATGGAACTGGTTTCTTAAAGACTATTGAAAAGACCCTCAGGAGCGAGCAGTACAAGAGAATTTTAGAGTCTTGTCTGCTCGCTTCTGCTGAAAGGGTGCAAATCGACTCCACCAAGCTCATTTTTATGCAGGATAATGCCCCCTGTCACAAAACAAAATTGATGAAGGAATACTTTGATGAGAAGCAGGTGAGTGTTATGACATGCCCGCCCCAATCTCCTGACCTCAATCCCATAGAAAAATTATGGGGCATTATAAAGAACAGGCTCTCGAGAAAGCAGTTTAGCAACAAAGAGGATTTGATTGTGAATTTCATATCCGAATGGAATTCAATGCTTGGAGATGAGATTTGCCAGAACCTAATCAAGTCAATGCCAAAAAGGGTTGAAAACGTTATTCAAAATAAAGGAGAACCCATAGATTATTAAATATTTCGAACTATATTATAAATAAATTATACCTCTATTATTCTTTATTTAAAGCTGTTCGGTTATGTTTCTATTGATTACTAGTTGCAGGAAATAAGTGAGTCACTTTTTTTGCACAGAGTTTTTCCCTAAATCTCATTTATATCGACAATTATAATTATCTATAGAATACCTTAAGGTGAGTAAACTTTTTTACTAGATGTTCAGGAAAGGGTCTTTATATTAGTAAGATTAAAAATTAGTTTGACCCCAAAAACAATAGGCGAAAATTTTTTTTAAGTAAAAAACATCAGGGGTGAGTCACTTTTATGGAACAGCGCTGTACTTGTCATTCGTCCATGCTTTAGAAATTTTGCTGCTACATCTGGTCTAGTGCTCCTGTTATATATTTAGAGATTAAGATAAAACACACAGAAGAATCGGAAATGTTATTGGCTCTGACCTGGCATTTTGGCTTCAGTTCAATTTGGCTTATTTTCTTTAGTGGCATATCAACAACTCCATGGGTTATTAAATGTCGAAATATAAATATTTTTACGTAATTTTATTTTTATATATATATGGAGATAAAAAAAAATGTTTTAGTGATACAAGTTTTAGAAATTAACCCTTGGCTGTGTGTGTGAGTGGTGGGGGGTCTGATGCTTTACCCAAAGGTATCCACAGGTATAGTGAATAAAACGAACAAAATTGAACCTCGGCTACCCGATTAACAATTCCGAACCAGAAATCAATTACACCACCTGCACATCCAAGCTTACAACACCTGATATTCCTAAGCGGTCATACATCTAGGTAGTGACCATACTCAAAGTTGCTTAATTTCTTGCTCCGTCACGTACCTTCCCCCCCTGCCTTTTCCTATAAACATGTTTATGGTAACTGTTCTGATTAAATTTCCTATATAGCAATTAGACTTTAGGGATTTAAGCGCAGTACTAGATTGGCTGCAAGGTCTCATTGGTTTACAGTTGAAATTGCTAGCCGTAACCGTAAGTTCTATGCTATCAGTTTCTTCTCTCGCATTTCACACTCTCTCGCGGTTTCTTGCTTTCAGGTCACTTTTCATCTTCAAAACTGTAAATGTATAAGGAACAGAACTAAAGAAGTGCCTTGACAAAGGCTTTAATTAAAGGAGTGACCCACGCTGGGGCTAGAAGCAAATAAGAATACAATCAAAGGAGGACATAGAAGTGGTGTTTCCTGGGCAAGATTGCCTGACGGGAGCCGAAACCTCTCCAACAGGTTTTGAATTCGGAGTTTCCTTCACTTAGAACCAGGAACCCCGCCAACCTGTTTTGAATTCGGAGTTTCCTTCACCTAGAACCAAGAACCCCGTTATGTTATTAACCCATAGCTTAGAAGAAGAGGTTTCATACCTTTCCTAAAGGTTTTAGCACGTAAGTGAATGTAATGGATTCGACTGGAATTCGAAATCCGCTCTCCGATTCCTAAATCCGAGCTGCTATCCATTACGCCACCGTGTCTCTATGATGGCAAACGAGCTAAATTTGGCAGAGTAAAGCAGCTTGGCGCAGATTTACTTTGACCACTATAAAGTTTTTGATCATTTTCATTGTTTGTAGTAATGCTTGGTAGGAACGTATGGATAATTACTTGACACCCCGCTGAGTCAGGTTGTGACACAAGGTCAGTTTTTAACGTGGGGACCCGAGTGTTTTCACATGGGCCGCTGGTCTAAGCTGGTCTTAGCTGACATAGCTTGTCCAAGCTGGTCTAAGCTAGTCTTAGCCGTGATACCACCAGTATAGGGACGGAGCCCTGTGCCAGATGCCGAGTGTGGACTTCTCACCACACCGTGGATGCTCCATCAGTCACCATGGCTTGTGAATTAGTTTATCCCACAGGTCCAACAACCACCATATTCATCAAACCTCACCCCTTGCTACTTTTTTCCAAGACCCACTAAATGGAAAAAGGAATTCAAGACGTCGAGTAAATCCAAGAGAATGCGACGAGGCAGCTCTCGCTTTCCCCCAAAAGAGAGGTTTTAGGATTTATTTGACCAATGGAAACGACGCTGGATAACATCCGAATAGAACTATTAAAGATATTAGCACGTGAGTGAATATAATGGATCCGACAGTAATTCGAACTCTGCTCTCTGGTTCCTCAATCCGAGCCGCTATTCATTGCTCCCACGTGCCTCCTATATAGTGCAGCAAATGGTGGATACTTCCGGAAATGTAAATACAATGCCATTTTTTATCTAAAAGGGAAAATGACAGGAAGTTTAAAATTCATGTCCTTGTCTCTTAAGGCCGTTTTTTTCTCATTCTCACGCACCCAGTAGACATTTACGTCTTAGTAGTTTCATTGTCTTAATTGAGAGTGAAATGACTAAAACAAACTCAGCGTCCCCAAAATTATAGCTTTTTGCCAAACTAAGTTAAATACTATCAAACCTCTCCATTCAGATGGTCCTGGGTAAGACGATAAACTACGTCCAGCAGCAAGGCCACTGATCAGGAAGTTTTTAAAAGCGTGGAGCCACTTCTTAATTGCAAGTGTTCCCAGGTCCACCCTGACCATGGGTTGTAGAACCTTTTGGGGGCCCAGCTATGGGAAAATAGTTAAACCTCAAACGTGGGTTAAAACACCATGAAAGTGTCAAAAATAGGTTTTAATAACAGAAATACTTTGTAAAAATTTTTTACCAGGAATACATTTTCGAAAAGAAATATTAACAACAATAAAAATTTTGTCGGCATTAAATAACCCATTGAGTGTGAAATGCCGAAAAATAAACAAACCAAACCAAACTATATATTTTTGAAAAAAATATTACCAGCTATACATTTAAAAAAAAAATAATAACAGTGATAAATTTTGAAGAAAAAGTACTACCAGAAATAGATTTTTGAAGAAAAAATATTGCCAACAATAAACATTGTTGGCATTAAATAACCCGTTGGGGTTGATATGCCGTAAATTAAACCAAACCAAACCAAACCAAACTATATATTTTTGAATAAAAAAAAAATTATCAGCTATACATTGTTTGAAAAAATATTAACAGATACATTTTGGAAGAAAAAATATTACCAGAAATAGATTTTTGAAGGAAAAAAATATTACTATCAATAAAAATCTCGGCATTAAATGACCCATTGTGGTTGATATACCGTAAAACAAAACAAACCAAACTAATATATACTGAGATAGATAGATAGATAGATAGATAGATAGATAGATAGATAGATAGATAGATAAAAAATATTACCAGCAATAAAAATCTTGTCGGCATTAAATAAGCCATTGTGGTTGATCTACCGTAAAACAAACCAAACCAAACCAAACCAAACCAACACATACCGAGATAGATAGATAGATAGATAGATAGATAGATAGATAGATAGATAGATAGAAAATATTACCAGCAATAAAAATTGTTCGGCATTAAATAAACCGTTGTGGTTGATCTGCTGTAAAATAAAACAAACCAAACCAAACATTTTAGACAAGAGGCCCTGAATGTTTCATTTTAAAGGGTGTCTTTTATCCACAATGCATGCAAATTGTCTCGTGATATTCATGTTGCTGACGATTCATTCTTCTCTCTTCATTCGAGTGTATTGTTTATTTTCAGCATCTGATCTTGCTTTGGTCACATTTTTTTTCTCTCTATGATGAAGTTCTTTCTTCATGTTGCCTGGATACATACATACTTCACAATTTGATGACTAGAAATTCCTGGAAGGTAACCCTGCTTATATCTTTTGCTTCGTCATAATAAAACCTCAATGAATTTGCCAAACATTCCACTGGAAATCTACGATGTTACTGTTGAAGATTCGAAATTCTTCAGAAGAACTGCCCCTCTAACTATATTCATACAATGAAAGAAATTAACATATGATTGTTCTTATTCAAGCTTTCTTTAAGGAATGGTTCAATTTATTCAAACTATTGTTCTCCTCATCTTTGAGTGATAGAATTGCTATTATAACGTTTCAGCCAAATTTCCTCTAGGCATCTTCAGGTGCACCTATTTCAGCTGTTAAGGGATATCTCGCGTATTTTTATTATTGGAATAGTTTTGGATCGATTACGTTTTTTTTGTTCGTTCCTACTGATCGAGATTATATAGCTTTAATGGTTGCTTGATAGTAGCAAATAACTTATTCACTAAAGCTTCTTTCTACTTCATACGTTCGAAAGCACATCAGTGAGATTTTTTTGTTTTTTTTTTGGGGGGTAAATCAATGTCAGAGTGTTTCGTCATTTTTCAGTTATCAGAGAGAGTTGATAGCAATTCTTAATAATTTTATTTGATTCTGCTTGATATTTTCATATGTCCCCTTAAACTTTGATCTAATCGACATATTCAATTTATATGGCCATTTATGCTATATTAGTCAGAAAAGGAACACCTGAAGATGACAAAGTAAACAACCATATAAAAACCAATGACGAGGTCAAAGGTTCGAATAAAACTATTGAATTGGTATATACCTACAATGCATCACTTGGAAAAATATAATTTGGAAGATGACAAGAAGGTATTTGGTCGAAACGTTTTGGCTTGCAATGGCATCTAAAATATTCTAAAATGATAGCGGTTCGAGAAAAACGAATAAATTATTATATGTTGACAATTACTCGTTCCAAAAGTTGAACAACTGAAGATAAACAGGGATTATTTGGTTAAAAGGTCGTGTCTTTAACAACATGTTACAACAAAAGATGTGTTCAAATCAGGTGAATAGATCAATATCTATTTACAATTGCTCATGTAAAAACACGGACATATGAAGAGGGTTACAAGTTACCCGTAACAAATAGGAAATTTTTCTCACCGGAGTCATTCCTTCAAATCTACAAATCAACCATTCGTCCTTGCATGGAGTATTGCTGCCTTATATGGTCTGGAGCCCCTTCTGTTTGTCTCAAGGTCCTTGATAAAATCCAGAGATGGATATGCAATGTAATTGGCCTTGATCCGGAATCTCGTCTGCAGCCGCTCTTTCACATACGTGCCGTTGCCTCCATCTGTCTTTTTGACAAATACTTTCAAGGTAACTGCTCCGATGAGCTGTTTTCGCTGGTTCCAAGATTTCGTGAATTTAAGCATACAACAAGGCTGGCATTTCGTTCACATCCTTTCACTGTCGAAACTGTTAAATGTAGCCGTCTCTTCTACTCCAATAGCTTCATGTTTCGCACTTCTCGCCTGGAGAACTCCCTCCCCATTTCTTGTTTTCCTGATAGCTATAATCTCCAACTATTCAAATGGAATGTCAATCGACGTCTCCAGATGCCCTGATCTATCCCCTAACCTTCTCTTCACTCTTCTTTGTTCTCGCTCCTACTCTGAAACCTTTGGCGTGCTAGTGACATCCCGCCTTGCTTGGAGTTGAATGCTTGAAAAATTATTTGTCTATTTTTGCTTCATTTTCTTTTTAGTATATTGTACTTTAATTAATGATAAGTGTAGCTCTTCCGCCAATTTCGATGGCTGTTATTTGTTAAGCAAAATCCAGTCTAGCGCAAGGCTAATCATGTGGCTGTTATAGGAAAGAAGACAAAATATTTTCAAAATAATGAGAAATTGAATCGGTAGTATTTGGCCATTGTTTTTGCTTCATTTAATAAAATTGTTTTATTAAAAGAAGATAAATTAAAAGAAGATGAGAGAAATGATAA